GTACAGTCTCTCTTTCTCTTTGTAGGAGATCTATCAGGACCGTAAAAAGTTCTCCGAGCAGGTCTTTAAGGTGGCTTCCTCTGACCTGGTCAACATGGGGATCGGTGTGGTCAGCTACACGCTCAAAGATGTGCATGATGATCAGGTGACTTTAGTCATGCACCACACACCCTAAAATACACTACTATTCAAATGCTTGTAGTCATTGTGAGTTTTTTTGTTTGTTTTGCTTTTTGTTTTTGAAAGAAGGCTATTATGGTCACCAGGAATGCACTCGTTTTACAACAGAATAATAAAACTGTAGTATTGTGAAGTATTATTATTTTAAAATGTAATTTATTTTTGTGAAGGCAAGGCTGAATTTTCAGCAGCACTGAAGCTCCAGTCTAGTAATGCATAAACAGTTTGAAATCACAGCATTTATCTGAAATAGATCTTTTGTAACATTATAAGCATCTTTTATGTCACTTTTTATGTATTTAATGAGTCCTTGCTAAATAAAAGCATGAATTTCTTCCAAAAAATAATTTGAATATAATTAAGATAATACATTAAAATAACATGGTAAGACACACCAATTTTCAATATCAAGCAGCAAAACGAGCTGTTTGGTACAGCTAAAAATAGCTGGACGCGGTTGAGACCGGAAGCTAGACCCATAGAATTAAAAAATGGCCAGGCCCGCTCTTACGAGAAGAAAAAGGTGGATAATCATAATAATATGCATATATGTATATCACTCACCCGGACTTCCTTACAGAATTATCTAAGCTCGCTGGGTAAAGCTCGTACTGCTCAGGTGCAAAGAGATGCTCGTATCGGTGAAGCTCAGTTCAAGAGGGATGCCGTCATCAAGGTGAAAATTTGACATATTTCTGTCATCATTGTTGGTTGTATGAACATTGGTGTGATGGATAAAACTGTAAATGTCCTTGTTTGTGTATGTAGGAGGCTCATGCCATGCAGGAGAAGATCTCTGCTCAGTATAAGAATGAGATTGAGATGGCTAAAGCCCAGAGAGACTTTGAGCTGAAGAAAGCCGCCTATGACGTTGAGGTCAACACCAAGAAGGCAGAGTCTGAAATGGCCTATCAGCTTCAGGTAGCAAATGATATTCAACTTGGTTTTCAGCTGGTAATATGAGGGTTGCCGGTTAATATTTCTGGGAACTTCAAGAAATCATGTAGAACTAGACAAGTACAACAAAAACGACAATTAAATCACATCTACTGACATATTTACTCACCGTCATCTGCATTAGGTGGCCAAGACGAAGCAGCGTATCGAGGAGGAGAAGATGCAGGTTCAGGTTGTGGAGCGTACGCAGCAGATCACTCTACAGGAGCAGGAGATCACCCGCAGGGAAAAGGAACTGGAGGCCAAAGTCCAGAAACCAGCCGAGGCCGAGAGATACCGCATTGAGAGGATCGCTGAGGCAGAAAAGTGAGAACTGAGGACCTAAGGGTCCAAAAGTTTTGCCGTTTTGTCTGCTTTAACACACATTTGTGCTTTAGTGGAAGCAAATCTGAAGGATAGAATTTGGTGTGATAATCTCGAAAAGTCATTTAATGTTCTTTCATCTAACAGGCTTCAGCTGATAATGGAGGCAGAAGCTGAGGCAGAGGCCATCAGAGTGAGTTCATGAATCTCTCCACACACATGTTTTTTGCCGGTGAAAATTAGCATTACTATTCACATTAGATCCCACTCAACATTCAGCTTTTCCTGTCTCTCTTTCAGATGAAGGGAGAAGCTGAGGCCTTTGCAATGGAGGCAAAGGGTCGGGCTGAAGCCGAGCAGATGACCAAAAAAGCAGAAGCTTTTAAGGAGTACAAAGAGGGAGCAATGGTGGACATGCTGCTGGAGAAACTCCCACTGGTTAGTGCATCTAAACTTTTGAAAGTCAATAAATAAGTTCAATGATAAGACCACTCAATAATGGCCTCCACTCCTCTAGATGGCAGAAGAGATCAGCAAGCCACTCTGTGCAGCCCAGAAGGTCACCATGGTGTCCAGCGGTGGGTCAGAAGTGGGCGCAGCTAAGCTGACAGGAGAAGTTCTGGAAATCATGACTCGCCTGCCGAGCGCAGTGGAGAAACTGACTGGAGTCAACATCTCACAGGTGACCACGCTCACGTCAGTGCTGGTATCAGGCTGTAGATCAAATGAGCTGCAACGTCTGCATTCCCATGGCTAGTTTCCGCAGTTTGTTTTTGTTGCATCATCATTTGTCTCTTTCACAAGTCACTGTCAATTACCACCTGTCATCAAAATGGAACTAAGAAAAATAGGTCCATTTCTCACTATTAATAAACCAATAACTACGACTTTTGTCTCAATAAACTACTAATTTGCTGCTTGTTAATAGTAAGGCAGTTGCTAAGTTTAGGTATTGAGTAGGATTGGGGATGTAGAATATGGTCATGCAGAATATGTGCTTTATAAGTACAAATAAACAGCCTATATGTTAATAATAGGCATGCTAATAAGCAACTAGTTAATAGTGAGTTTTGTTTCCTAAACTAAAGTGTTACTAAAAAAAAAATAAAAAATTATATATATATTAGGGCTGTCAGTTTAACACGGTTAACTTACGTTAACTTAGTTATGAAAAAATAACGCGATTAAAATATTTAAACGCAGTTAACGCACTGGCCCCGCCCCCAGACCTGTACGTCGTCTTACATTTCATACAGTTGACTGTTGACTTAAACAGAATATTATGTATTTTTGTTCAATTTTGCAGAGAATATATTACCTTTAAAGCCACAGCAGAACTGTTGCATCGCCGAGCAACACAGCATGTTTAGTTTCTGAATGAATCCGCGTTTTGAACTAATTGTGTGAATCAATGATTCAAAGGCCCATTCGAGTCATTTACTGAATTCCTGAATGAATCAGCTGTTTGAACGAATCGAATGAAGACATTTACCGCCACCTGCTGGCAGATTTATTTTCTTATTTAGAGTATTATTTAATTGAAAATAATAATAATAATAATAACATTAAAGGGATAGTTCACCAAAAAGAAAATTAAATTCTGTCATCATTTACTCAAACCTGAATGACATTCTTTCTTTTGTGGAACATGAAATATGGTATTTTGAAGACTGTTGGTAACAAAGCTGTTTTGGTTACCAATGACTTTCATTGTATGAACAAAAATACTGAGATGTTTCTCAAATGATCTTCTTTTATGTTCCATAGTTCATGTTAAGCCGTTGTAGCCTAAATGTTTATGTGTAATAAATTTTATGTTGAAAAAACTAAAATTTGAAATGTCTACTTGATACTTTCTCATTTAACACAAAAATAGCTTTAAATAATCTTTTGTGGGTATTTTCACAGTCA